AGGGAAGGATGGTGAACACAACTGAGGCTTGTGACTGCTTGCACTTGTTTACATATTAATGCACCAGGCCCCATAAATCTGCTAATTTTGCTACCCGCCTAGGATGAAAAACAGCTGGGCATCATGCATATGACAGGCCATAGCACACTCCTGGTGGTCATAAGCTGTGCAGGTCTAATTTATATTGCACCAAATATATTGTCCAAGAAAATACTCTAATAACTCTCTGAAATTTGGCCATTCTACAGCAGAGGCAGAGAATCCTCTGGCCACATATCTTCATTTCTAGTTGTGCTATACTGCTACCAGTTAAACAGGTCTTAATATTTTTCCTTTTATCTCCCTTCTTAAGTTAAACACACACACACACCTGTTTAATATGAAGTTTTCGATTTTGTATTGTAAAATTGCAATGATGTTTTAATATTTTTAATAAAATGTGTCTTTTTTAATGTGCTTTGTGAACTGCCCAGAGAGCTTCAGCCATTGGGCAATATAGAAATTAAATTAATGAAACAAATAACATCAGAAGACCAAAGAACCGAATTATACCATTAGAGGGGATATCTTTATTGGAGTCTGAACTGTTGTTCTTAATAGCTAGGCTGAATCCTACAACTTACTTACCTGGAAGTAAGCTTGGATAAATTATATATACCTGCTATAAATGACCCCATAGCCTGTAAGAAATAGATAGTAGTCCCCCCAGCCCACCCCCAGCACTCTGGAAGTATATAAACTTAGAATGAGGAACAATGGTTTCTAGCCTGGAGGGAGCAGAGTATAGAAGACAACACAAATAACTACGAGAACTAGTTATTAGAGCATAGTCTTTTCCCAAATACTATGGAATAGATCTATGCTTTTCAGAAACTAGTGCCATCTAACAACTCTCCTAATCCCACTGTTGTGTGTGGGAGACAACACCCCAGTAAGAGAGACTGCAGGATAACATATAGAGGGGTTATATTATAACTGTACTGGTTCTGAGTAAAAGGACTACTGGGTTTAGGTTTCCTGCTTCTACAGTCACACTCCAAGTCACAAGATACTGGTACAGTATTTCCATGTTGTTTCTTTAATCAATATGATTTCTCAATCAGTTTAGCAAGCTCTGAAAACGCTCAAGGAGTATCACATTTCAACAACAGCAACAAAAACAGAATTCAGAGGAAGCAACAAAGAAGCAAGACTGAACCATCAACTGTGATACACAAGTGAAAATCACAAATACTGTGTTTAATGAAACTCCCATAACATCTGCTTTATTTTTAAGAGCTTCATGTTCAGATTTAGAGAGTATGAGCTTATAACAGAAACTTCAGTGAAAACAAAGCATTTCTACATTGTCTTCTCCAGAATCATGATTATTAAGAGCCCCATATCAAAAAAAAAAAAAAAAAAAACCACCAAAAACAAAATGCTGAGGTTGAACCATTTCCTACAAGTGTGTTTTCCTCTGTACCATGAAATTAACCATTGAAGTGCAGTGGCTGAAGTGTTGTACTTCAACATTTGAGAGGAAAAGGCAGGATAAAATTAGTTTCAAAATGTTCAAAATGTAACAGAGTCACACGGAAGCGTCATGTGTTGCCCGGTAAATGAAGGTAACAGTATCTCAGAACCAGGGTGATTTGACTTAACTTTTGAATTTATTTAATTATTTGGCAGTCCGTGGTTCACTGATGCATTTTATATATACAAAATAAGAACTTCAGAGTTAGGGCAGTAATAATTTGCAATCCTTGAGTATTCAGTTCTTGCTTAAGAACATGAAATGCTATTCTGGATCAGATCAAAGCTCATGTAGTCTAGCACTGTTTGCAAGAATCCCAGCAACCAGAAGTTGCTGGTGATTCACCAGAAACTCATCAGCAGTCAACAAGTAGTCTGGCAACTATCTTTTAGATATCAACCAACAGTGGATCATCCCTCATCAACTTCCTTTTTTCAAGGAAACTTGAAAAACAATTTAAAATATTCCTCAAAGAGCCTGGCTACTAGTAAGTAACAACACAGAAAAGAAGGCTAATAATGTATATAGGAAACTGCACTATATTCTATTAGATGTTTTCCAATCAAACACAGTATTGTCTGTCTTCTGTGACTCTGCAAAGTCTTAGGCAAAGTTCTCCCACATCACATGGAAATACAAAAGTTGAACCTGGAACCTTCTGCATACAATGCACTGAACTATCAAGTTCCCCCCACACACTTTTAAATGGCATCTATTTTAGTGATACAATTCAGGATTGTGTAAATTGACAACTTTTACCCTAAACATGAATGATTCTTCTGTAGTTCTATTAATCCCTTTGATGAAAGCACTTATGGATGTTCATATTGGGTTACACTTATAAAGAAGTTCCAAGTGTTTTATCTTCCTTTCTTTTTCTAAACATACATACACATAGACATGGGATGAAATCTTGCAAGGCTATCATTTATTTCAATTGGAACAAATTGTTCCAATTGCCAACTTGCCTATTGACCAGCACTGGTCATCAGGAAAAAAAAGATTTGCACTGGCTCCCTGCTGTTAATAGCATTGATTATCTGCAGATTTAGTGTTTCCCTAGGTGGTAAGATGAAGTCTTTCCTCAAAGAATTCTCATAAGCTACATTTTAAAAGTGAGAGGGTTGGGGAAGGCAGAGACAAAGATAAAAGCATAGGGTAGTCCTACAGTGCAAAATGTTCTGGTACCTTCGTGTCTTATACATGCTCAGGGAAGGTAAAGGGTAGTGAGAGGTCTGAGCCTTGCAATTAATTCCTGATCACCTGCATTGTCAGAAGGTAAGGAATAGCAGAACATATTTCTTCAAAAAGCCTAGAAACCATTATGGATAGATTAATATTCCCTCTAAGTCCTCTTCTGTTTCAGCAATCTCCCCCTGCATTTAAGAGAGTGACAACTAATCTTTAGAGAGCAATTTTCATGCAAGATTTATAACTGTTTTAATATACTGGATTAAGATAATCCTAAATACTAAAACTGATCAATGCACATTGACCATATTAAATGCAAATAAGATATTGAGATAGACTATTTCTTTCCCTATTTTCAGAAAAGAGTTTGGGGAAGCACCATGGCTGAGTGACAGAACACATGCTTTGCATACAGAAGGTCAAAAGGGACCAGAGTGACCTTGTATAAGGCAGCTCCTATGCTGAAGTCTGTGACTGCTGTATGAACCTGCATGCACTGCACAAATTCAGAATTTTGGCATCAGATAAAGAACTAAATTATAGATTATACAATATTCAATGAAAATTCCCCTGATGTCTTTAAAACACAATGAAAAGCCGCAGCTGCAGATTACGAACAGGAGCAGAGAAAGGAGAAGTGAGCAAAGAATGTATCTATCCTTTGCTCTGCCAGTTGTTTCCTTTGAAAATCTCCTCTCCTGAGCTATTTCCCCCACTATTATCCCTGTAGGGAGAAATGCAGTTTGAAGGGTTTATTTAGAGAGAACAAATAATCAGCAAGGAAAAAGTTTATGATCCTCCCTGCCCTCCTTCTCTGGTGCTGAATAGTTTTTAATTTGAAAAGAATTCAAGAAAAGGAGTTACACAGAACTCCATGTTGCATATAGCTGACTATGGATTACATTTTTTAAATTAAAGTAAGTCTGTAATTCTTTGTGTTTCTTTCCAAAATCCCACTGATGCTTGCCCTTTCACAAATAGATGTCCAATCTCATGCTTTTACTATCATCCTTTCCACACAGAAGTCTTCCTTTCTTCTGCAATCTTATACTTTATCATCAATAAGCATATGTTTTAACAAATTGTGCAATTTAAACTAAATCTATTTTAAAATAATCTGCATAAATATCTCAGTGAGACTTAAGTATTTTTACAAGTGACATTAAAAGTACATTTTATTCAATCCCGCATTGCTTCTTCATGTTACAAATTCATTGAATGAAAATATTTCTGTGTTAAATATGCTGCTCTGTGTGCCATTTTTGGTAGAAAGGTAAGCAATTAAATAAATAAATAAATAAATAAATCAAACCAAACACTGGGTTCCTATCCTTCAATGTACAGAAACACAGGCATTAATTGTGAAAATAGGCACATAGTTATTGTTGGAATAAAGTGCATTTCTTTGTAGATGTGAAATATACTTAATATTGAAAGCTTAAACTGGAAGCAGCAATACTGAAGAACAGCAGCAGAAAGAAGTCGGGAAAAGAGAAGAAAGCAAGGGCTGGAGAAAACAAAATGTAAGCCAGAGTGCAAACCCGCCAAATACTATTTAGACTAAGAGACAAACATTCCAAAGTTCTAGGGCATTTGTGCATGTGAGTCGCCTGTAAAAACAATATCCTGTTACGTTTTGGTTCCTTAAGTTTTATATATGTACACACAAAGTATTCAATGTTAGTAATTTAACAGATATGAAATCTCTCACCAAGCAACACTCTGTTTATTTACAAGCTTTACTTTTCTTTAAAAGAAGCTGAAAATTGGCATCTAGAAGCCCAAAAGGACCGTATCTCTAAATATTATAGAGGTAATGAAAGGCCATGCACCAAAATGCCAAAAACTGGTTAAAGCCAAGCCTGTTTACACAACGTGGTTTTCCAGAAGTAGAATTTTAAAACAAACAAAAACTAACTAGTTTGCTTTGGCCCTCTTTTTTCTCTTTGTCTTTTGCTAAAGCTCCTTCTCTCGTCAATCATCTATATGTAAGTTTTTCAAAAAAACAAGGTGCAAATGCCTCGTGGTGAGACATTTTGGCCATGACAGTCTTGAAGTAGTCCTATTTATCCCTTACTGAACAGTAAATGTATTTTCTCCCAAGTTTTGCTCAAATCAGTTATCATTAACTTGGGGAGAGGGGGGCAGTGTAAAGGAATGAAGCAAAGCTGAATCACACACCTATATACTTTTATATATTAAAATCAAAACTATATAATTGCCCAATATTTGGCCATGTTTGGGAAAAAAAATTTAAGCACACCAGTAAAGATAGTCAAGGCACTATACTCACCAGTATGAATCTTCTCATGTCTCTGTAGCAGGTACTTCTGTATGAAACGCATCTCGCACTGACTGCACTGAAATGGTTTTTCACCTTAAACAATATAATTCCACATCTGTAAGTTAAAAGCTACAAACATTTGTTTCTAATAAATTCTGTTGAGAAATAAAATAGGTGACTACTGGAATCCAGCATTTGAGTGAATTCCAATATATTTTGGCATAAAAAGCCTTCCTAAACTATCTGGGCAAAAAATCCTGTCAGCCTATAATGCTAACAAAGGAGTATAACTCATGAAGAAATGCAGGTTGCACACTAAATTCTGAGGTCATATAGAAGCTAAACTTAAACTTATCTTTCACTTGTCCAAACAAGGAAGTTCTTCATTGGCCAAATAAGAATCCGGAGTCTTTTTTTTCAAACAGGACAAAACTAGTAATTGGACCACTTCAACACATTCTATCCATGTACATGAAGAGTAAATTTCAATAAATAAGAACATTATTTTCTGGTATTTTTGACACCTTGGTGCATGGAATATCTAAGCTTAGATGCCATGTTTCCTGCACTTTGGAATCCGAATTGTGCATTATTTCCATTATTCAGTGCATTGTTTTAAGATTCAGCAATTCTTTAAATGATAAAAATACAATTTAAATTCAAGCAGTACCTGTATGAATGAAGACATGCCTTTGTAAATGGTAGTTGGTTCTAAAGGCAGCATTGCAATGCTCACAAATGTGAGATTTGGTAGTTTTCAGACCAAGTGATCCATCCTCATTTATTGTAAGGATCTATTTTTAAAAGGGTAAAATTCAGTCTCATGTTAATTTCTAAAGATTTGTTTTAGATCCAAATGTTTACATAATGGAGAAAATCAAGCCCTTTTCTATAAGAGAGATAATAAACATTTACAAATCTCAAGTGATATAACAAAACTTTGCTTTTAAGATTGGTGAACTATATGAGTATATGGTACATTCAACAAAGAACTAATATACGCATTTCCTAAAAAAAGATTAATTCCTCTAAAATGTGTAAATCAGAACATTGTCGATGCTATTCTAACATATCAAAGAGTAGCACTATAAAGGAACTATAAGTCACTTTCCCGATATGTGATTATATCATGAGTGGAATCTTTAGTTCTACTCAGCTGAGCTAACAGCAACATAAACTTTACAGATGTTACAATAGACAGCACTTCATGTTTTTTCCCATGTTATTGTTAAACACCTGAAACACAACTAGCAATATTAGTTTTTGTTTTAGGGTTTGTTTGCTTTTTTGGTACAAACCTATTGGTTGACAAGAGTTTTGTTAATCTTACTTGGATGGATTAATAAAAGGATAGATGTGCACTGTATTTCTTTTGTCTAAGTAGATCATTCAGTTTTCAAATAATTACTTTTACATGTTAAGGTTGTTCTGACTAATAAAATGGTTCTGGACAATTGCACACCCTAACTGTTAAACTGGTAAATGAATAGCTGCAAAACATATTTATCTTCAATACTTGGGCAACTGACACACTTGACATTGGCCATCATGTATTTCCAGCAGCACGAAAAATACAAATTCATAATGAATTATGCTTCCTTCTGGAAAAAATGTAGTCTTTCTTGAAATTCAACCATTAACTTGACTTCTACTTTATTTTCAAAACAGCTAACATATATGTATTCAAATCTTTTCAAGAAGGTCCTTCTAAATACTATGGGTAGCATCCAATGTTATTCCCAAGTACAAGAGACCTATTGAAATAAAAAGATCTAGTCAAACTAACTGAAGTCCCAATCATTTCAATGGGTCTAACTCTACATAGGACTAACACTGTGTAGTACCTCTCCTTTCCAAAGTGGAACAAATGGTTGATCCAACAGTGCCTTTCCTTCAACAGAACAGAGTCTGCTGATGGAAGAGATTTCCCCTGCCACATTCTGCCCTCCACAAATCTTACTTCAGGGAGTTGGGGGACCATCCAGTGCTGATTTGGGAGTCTGCAAGGATGATGATGGAATCGGGAAGTCCACTTGCTCAGCACTGGAATTAAGCTTGCATCATTTAAATATTCCTGCTAGATGAAACTATAACCTTCAAAACAAATACTAGAAAATATATCTTCATTACCTAGCCTGCTTCCAAACTCACTTGTCAAGTTTGAGAGGTATTTCTATACAATACT